AGGGCCCAGGGGATGGTGGTGCAAGGTTTGGGGCTACCTGGACCCCAAAAGTATGTAAAATAATGGCCTTTATGGCTATTATTATGGGTTTAGGGCTATTATTTTACATACTTTTGGGGTTTAGGTAGCAGTTTACGTACTCTTGGAGTCCAGGTAATCCTTACAAAGTACCCAATCTGAACCCTGCGATCCTAAAATACAACCCTAAATTGTGGGCCCCAAACCCCATAATCCTTAAGTATATGGTCCCCTGTAGTGGGTATATAGGATCTACAGAGGGTAGATGAAGGGTCTAAGAAGGCATCTGAAATTTGCAATTCAGAAACCATATACGTTTTTTCCTAGCTATTGCCTTCCTTTTAACATGTTGTTTGAGCCCTAAACCCTAAACCGCATGTTGTTCATGCCTTTTCCTCGCCAAGCCTAGCAATTCGGATTTCAGACCCTAAGGCAGCAAGTATGCAATGTATCTGACACTCAGCCCCACTTTCTGTCCAAACTCACATGGAACCCAGGTAGCCCCAAATTAAATGGACAGTATACAAGAGATCCTTTTAACAGGTTCAACATGAATAGCTTTGGCATCTTTGAGCGCCAGATGCGTGTTTTTTCTAGTTTACGGTTCTGTTTGAGACGTGATCCCTAGACCAGAAATCCCTGAACTGGAGGCTGGAGTAGTGCTCTTGTATGATTGTGTTTGTAAGGTTATTGCTTGTGTACTTGTTTGCTTGAAGCATATAGTTGGGACTGGAGCTACTCAGCATGCTGTCAGCGTCATTGTTGCTACCTCCAAGCACAAAGTAGCTAGCAGGCTCTAGGCGTCATCATTGCAATTCCTGTGAGTTATAGTCTAAACTCCTAGTATTAGTATGCTCCTTAATAAGCCCTATAGTAGTCCCCCATTCATTCCCATATGTACCCTCCTTTAAGGAGCTTAGACTATGGTTCATGTTGCTGAAATGGCTGGCCGGGCTTATCTTGTAGGCTGCATCCTCATGTACAATGCCAAACCTCGACATTCACACAATTGATCACAAAGTTGGGAAAAGGGCCAGGTGCAAACGCTCCACGGCTGTAACGACTCGAGCAAGGAATGTTCGCGTCTACTTGAGACCTACCTGGACCCCAAAAGTATGTAAAATAATGGCCTTTATGGCTATTATTATGGGTTTAGGGCTATTATTTTACATACTTTTGGGGTTTAGGTAGTAGTTTACGTACTTTGGGAGTCCAGGTAATCTTTACAAAGTACCCAATCTGAACCCTGCGATGGTTTAGGTAGACGTAAGTTGCTCTTTGGGAAGCCTCTTCCTACGCGCCGCTGCTACATAGACCTGCATGCACCCTAAGGGTCCAAGGACCTAAATAATAGGATCCCTTTAAAGGGGTTATAGGGGGATATATTATATAGGGTTTAGGGTTTAGGGTCCAAGGACCTAAATAATAGGGTTTTAGGTCCAAAATATTACCATATTAATGGTATTTGGGCCCTGAAACCCTATTATTTGGGTCCTTGGACCCATAGGGGCATAAAGGACAAATCCCGGCTTTTGCTCGACTCAAGCTATATTGGCTCACCCTTAAAGGGCTGCAAACCGAAGCATGAACCGAACCGTGTGGAGGTTGCTTGCCTCCGCGGCCTTCTTGGCCGTGCCGGCTGCGGCAGCGGATGCTCGCCGCAGCTGTGAGTGCGAGGGCATCGATGATTGGAATGATCCAGCTTTCTCCAGGTGTGATTGGTGGGGCGACGTCCACATCACGGACAGCTGGCGATCTCCCAATGTCTTCGACTTCCAGGGCTACGGTGTCTACAGCTTTGCTTCCTCTACCGAGTGCGGCGGGGACTTCGAGCTGCAGATCTTCCAGTGCCCGTACAGCAAGAACAGCAATGCGGTGGCCATTGGCGTCGCGATGAAGGTGAACGATGGGGACGTGGTGGTGATCGCCAACGACACGGTGTCCAACCCCGATGGCGCCAGCGTCGTCCCGCCCGCGTTCGAGAGCCTCAAGAAGGGTGTCAGCATTGTCAGTGATGACAAGTGTGTGAGACTCAACGTCAACACCAAGCTCCTCAGGAGGGCACCTCGCTTGTTGCACAATGGTAACTTGCGTGTGATCAGCCATGCTACAACCAGCGAGGGCATTTGTGGAGCTCCCACCTTCGGCGGCTCCTACATTGCCCCTGGCGAGGACATGCTCTTCCCTGACGCGACCTTCCAGGAGATGTGTTCCTTCTGCGAGTCCGAGACCGGCGTCTCTGTCCCAGGATGTGGCCCTCCTCAAAACCCTCAACAGCCAGAGATTGAGCCGGGTTGCGAGTTCATGGACCTCCGAAACACTGGCCGGATTGTTGAGCAGTGCTCTGGCGACGAGGACCCCGTGATCGAGGAGGCCAAGGCAGATGGTGAGAACTGTGTTGCCTACGTCCGTATGAACAAGCAGATCTCCTGCGCGGACTTCTGCGAGGAGAGGGACTCCACATGCGTGATGGCCATTGACCAGCCAAACGGGCAGAGGTGCGTATCCACCGTGGGCAGCCTAGACGAGATTGACACCAACACAGTGAACTGTCAAACCAAGCAGTTCCGAGATCTTCAGTGTGTCTGCACGAAGCCGGGGAATCCGGCTCCAGGACCAACACCCGAAGAGGCCTGCGCCAACCTACCCGATGGCTTCACTTTGCAGGATGCTGCAAATCTTTGCCGCACCGCTGTGGACTTCCTGGCCGGCGTGGCTTACCCGGGCACCGCGACTTCTGGCGATGCTAAGGCCAAGGAGGACATCTTGCGCGCCTGCATCCTGGATGTGTGCTCCGCAGAGCCTGAGGACCGCGACGAGATTGCGGACAATGTCAACGACCAGGATCCCAACGAACCCCCCGTCGAGCCTACAACCACCACCACCACGACGACCACGACCACGACCACGACCACGACCACGACCACCACAACGACTACGACCACGACCACGACCACGACCACCACCACCACCACCACGACTACAACCACGACCACGACCACGACCACGACCACCACCACCACAACCACCACCACGACCCCGGCACTGGTTGGAGACGAGCTTTACGTGTTTGGCTTCGACCCTTACCCTGGCTCCTCATCTCCTTACCAGCCACAGGGAGTAGTGGAAGTGGAGTCCCTCCCCGATGGCACCACCCGCCTTGCCTACAGCCTGACCGGCCTCGACCCCGCCTGCGATGGCCCGTGCACCGGTACCAATTGCTGTGGCATTCACATCCACGAAGGCAGGCCTGGGTGTTGTGGATAGTTGAGGGTCTCCCAAGTTTAGGGGTACCGTTTAAAACGGATACTAGGGGTCAAATATAGTGCTTAGGGTTATTGGGGGGTGTATATTGGGGCTCCCCATCTAAGGAAACTACATGAAACTACTAAATATTGAGCCCTGTAAGCCCCAAACACTAAGCCCTAAACCCCTAAACCCTGAATCCTAAGCCCTAAACCCTAACCCGAAACCCTAAGTCCATAAAAAAATGAAGCCCTAAACCCTAATGCTGCAGACTTAGAACCAGGGACATGCTTCATTGGCATCAGATCGCTTTTTTAGGTCATGTGGCGGATACTGTAGACCCGTGATTAATAAACCCTCTCCTTGTAAAGCCCTTAATGTTACCCTGAGGCTCTAGGTTAATGAATAGTACCTACATTGGGCCCCAAAGTCTACAAATAGCACCTACATGGAGCGTTAGGGTTAGGATCCCTAGCATAATCCGTATTAAGGGGAGGGGGTTTATATTTTGGTGCTACATTACGGGTGTTTGGTCTTGACAAGAATCGGCAAGGTAAGTGGCATTAACTGGCAATTGGAGGATACTCAGGTGCCGGAATTAGAATGGTGTGGGGTTTAGCGTTAGTGTAGACTTGGTGTACCTTGTGGCGAGAGGCATGCTATGCGCTTCATTAAGCTGGTATGCAAGTTGTACCATGGGAGTTATTCAGTTCAAAACCTACATAGCCAATGTGTGCAAGGGACCTCGCATAATCCCGGCATGACGTTTCCAGTTATGTACCGGAACTTGTTTACCTAAACCCTAAACCCTAAACCCTAAGAAGCCCCCAGATAGGGTTGCATAAGGAGCCTCCTACGCCCCAGCAATCATATCATCTTGCATGCAGTTCCTGCCGCAGGAGCAAATCAAAGAGTTGGTAAGGAAACCTAATCATTAAAATCCCCGTAAACCTTCCTTGAACCTGGAGGGGCCGTGCACGTGGGGGTTGGGTAGAATCCTCACTGATCAGGCTTATTTAGGGATAAGTAGGATTCTTTAGGGGGGAACCTTGTGGGAGGGTAATATACTAGGGGCTGGTTATCCCTGCGTTTTGGAGTGTTGAGCTGATACATGGCATGCCCTTGGCTTAAGGGTGAAACCCAGAACCGTTTCATGCGGTAGAGTGTAAGGCTCTTTGGAGGAATTTGGAGGTCGTACACTATTTGGGTACGGTTTAGGGTTAAGGGTTTAGGGGTTGCATCAAGTTTTGTAGCGTAGTATGCGCAATGCGATTTGTGCTGCAACGTGTTGTGCATTTAGAAGTTGACCGGTGTGCATTGCTGTGCAAACCAGCAACCCAAAAATTCAAAAGACAGCGACAGAGGAAACAAACTGGAAACCAACATGTAAACATTAAGGTTCCATACTTCCGAGTAAAGGGCCCTCATTGCTTCGCACGTGCGCTTAGCAAAAATGGCGCACCAGCAAATCTGCGAGTTGTTTGCCTACAGCTTTGTCGTCTCAGCATGTTTCCAAAGCCTTTGGATGCCTGGGCCTAAACCCTCAAACATTCCACTAAGCAGTAGCTAATTAGAGTAACCTAGGCCTGTACACAATACCAATATTTGCAGGTACGAATCCCTGTTTTTCGGTACGTTGGTTGCTTTATAGGTAGATAAGTGCAATCACCAGAAAAATCCTTCGGAGGCACCAGCTGCGATGAACCAACGGGCCCTCATTTCTGGGACAGCGCCGCTGGGTCTGATCAAGGGTTTAGGGTTAAAGTTTCGATGCAGGTTTCGGGTTTAGTGGGTAGGGTTTCAGGGTGCGCCTGGACACCCAACAGGGGTTCATTATGCAGGTCCTACCTGTGGCTACTTGAGCTCTATACTATAAAGGGTACTTAGGATAGACGTAATCGCTTCCACTGGAACTAAAACCCCCCGCTGCCATCCCGCCTGATGCTGCATATTCCCCATAAGCTATTATTACATAATAGGGGGAATACTTATTATTAGATTATTGGGGAGTTGGTTAGCAACTGCTTCGGTCCCTAAGCCCCAAACCCTAAACCCTAATATTTGAGGGGCCAACTTAGACACCCCAAGTACCCTCTATAGACCCTAGGTATCCCCAAATAGAAGCTACATAGACCCTATTTTAGGGTACTTGGGGGGTCTAGGAAAGCTGCCAGGTTGGATAATTGGGGGAGAGGGTTAGCAACTGTTTCGGCTTAGGGTCGAAGGTTTGGGGTATATGAGCTATAGTTAGTATCCACCTTAATAAGGGAGAATCAAATGGAAAAGAAAATGGAACATGAAATGGAAACTGAGATTATATGGGAGATTATAGGGGATTATAGTCTAAACTCCTAGTATCCACCTTAAAGACCCCTATAATGCTCCCCTATATAATCCCCTATGTAAGCCCGTACATAGCTCGCTGTAAGGAAAATAGACTACAGCTCATATGGGGCTCATGAGATCCCTCTGCAATTTCTGACTGGGGCTGTCAGATACCTACAACTTATTACAGTAGGGTATCTTACGTTAGACCGTGTACTAAAGCGGCTGAGGTGTTTGAAGTAGGGTTACAGGCTTCCCACGGATTTCCTGGTGCATATGCTGCAGTTGGGGTTGCAAAAACTGTGCCAGAGGATAGGATCCCAGCACTCGCTGCAACTTTTTCCGCATTGAGACCCAATAGTTGACTTCTGAAGCTCGCGTAGAATCGGCGTAGAAGGCCTCATAATTCCAGATGTTGAGACAACTGGCTGGAACATTTGAGCAGCTAAGGGCAGCATCCCGCAAGATCCTTGGCTGTCGGTGAGGTACGACTCCAGCACGGACCCAGCAAACGTACTTTCCGAGATTGTGGAGGCAGGCCTTTCCAACGAGGACGTCTTGGGACGTGCGGTAGTGATCCACGATGTGACCGGTGCGCGCATCGCATGTGGCATCATTGAGCCCTCCACCACCACGGTCTTCGAGGAATTCCCTGGCTACAGCGGGGATTTGCCTGTGACATCTGGTGGGGTGCAGGCGAGGTCATGTAAAGATGGTTGAAAGTTGTCAGCTGTCGCAATGGCATCTGCCAACTGTCACCACTCATAACATGTCATGCTGGTAATCAACTGACTCATGGCAGGTGTTGTCTGACGATGGCGATGGCACGCAGACGCTCAGCTGGATCTTCACTCAGGGCGTCGACCCGCGGTGCACCTCAGCCGGTCCGGCGGCCAACAGCTGCAGTGTCCAAATCTTTGATGGCACCAGCCCCGACGCACCCGGCAACCCTTACTGGAACCAGGGCGACATCCCCCAGAACCCTTGGCCGCAGGTGCGTTATGTGATTCAAGGTTCCCTCCCAACGGCAGTGAATGACGTCGAGGTGACGACGGGCCTTACCTCCGCGGACATCGATGGTCGTGTTGTGGTGGTCTACGACTACGACGGCGTCCCCGTCGGCATTGCCATCATCGAGCTGCCAGAGGACGTTCCTGAGCCGGCGGAGGGTGATGACCTGTACGTCTTCGACTTCAGCCCGTACCCTGGCTCCTCCTCGCCCTACCAGCCGACCGGGGTGGTGGAAGTGAAGTCTACGGACAATGGTCTGACCCAGCTCTCATGGAGCCTCACCAACGTTGATCCCAGCTGCAGTAGCGACTGCACCGGGACCAATTGCTGTGGCATCACGATTAATGAAGGCAAGTCTCAGCTTACTGTCTGCCTGTCTAAGCTAGGGCCAGGGTCACCTACGTAGTAGGATTTGTGTGGAAGCTAGGGTCACTTAACTAGTGATGTAGGATTTCCGGGTGATTTGACAGGCTTCCTTTATCTTCGTGTCTTCTTGCAGGCATGAGCTGCAGCGACGCGGGAGCAACCTATTGGGCCGGAGATGACGGCAACCCTTGGGGTTCCGTCAAGTACGACTCCAGCACGGACCCAGCGAACCAGCTTTTCCTCAGCGTCGACACTGGCCTCGCACGTGCCGACGTCTTGGGCCGGACCATGGTGATCTATGACGCGACTGGTGCTCCCATTGCCTGCGGTATCATCGAGGACAGATAGCTACCCAAGATATGGGCGGTTGTCAAAATCTTTTCGGATCCCTATTATAGTACGGCACCTAATAAAATATTTAGAGTGCTCAAAAAGGGGTCCTATTTTTGACCACCACCCATATGTGCTTCCTTTAGCCAACTAGCCAATATTAGCCTTAAACCGCAACCACCCCAGAGAACAGGGTGGCAACCCCATTTGCATTATACAACAGGGTGGCTGGCCCAGGACCGTAAATTGCGAGCTCTGTACATGCGCGATTATACACAAGGAGCTAGGAAAACGAGGTCCCAAACTCACGACATTTCTACGATTTTTCACAGTGTGCTTTGGGGTCTCGCGCCTCTTGCTTGGTCTTCGGGTATTCGGATCTCCGCAAGATGTCAGGCAATTTTTCACATTCATTCACACTATTTTCGGGAAAAAGGATCGTTGGGAACCACTTCAGAAAACGACATCAAAGAAGTCTAGGGTAGCTGGTAGGGCACGCGAAGCCGTAAACCCGGTATGGGATAACTAGCAATAAGGGAGAAGCAGTCAGAACTTAATCTGAGATGAAGGTCTATTTTTGTGCAACGCGCGTAGGGATCCCAGAATCTTTGTTTGGTGTGCATTCAATCAGGGCTTGTTTCCCTTAGAGTCTGCGTACCTAATCTTCATATACAATTTCCTTCCCTAAACCCTAAACCTGGGTACTTGGACCCCCTATCCAGCAGCCATAACAGACCCAAAAAGGAACTACATGGGAGCCCTTGGGTAAGCATCACTCTGAGATCCTTTTATCCTTTTGAAGTAGCTTATGCCGGAATCATAACAGAAACCTGGGACCATAATGTTCGTAGGGTTTAGGGTTTAAGGTTTATAGCCCTAAGGGTCCAAGGACCCAAATAATAGGGTTTTAGGGCCCAAATGCTATAATCCTAATGGTATTTGGGCCCTAAAACCCTATTATTT